CGTGCATGAAAACAAACACAAAATAACACATTTGCATGAGAGAACTCTCTGAAAAAGGCCAGAAAAACACACGATGGAGTACTTTGACATAAAACAAACCAAAAACAAGGATGAAACAGCGGTGCATATCGGATAAAGCACTGGACTAGGCAATGTCCCGGTAAAATCGATATCGATAAAATCGGAGAAAAAAAAGCGGATCGATCATTTATATTATCTATATTATGTAAATAATTCTTATATAGTTCATAAAGATCATTTTCACTATTTTTTCTGTTGCACTCTGTATATTTCTCACTCATTTTGTGTGTAGTTTGTGAATCATTTGCACTGTTTGTATTTTTGTTGCAGAAGACAATTTGTGCAATTGTTTTCACTAAATAGCTGCACGGTTTGTGTTTGTTGTTGTTCATACTCGGATTGAAAATATATTTCTCTGAAAAAAAGTCACTTTATATATTATATAACACAGATACGTTATATTATATAATGACCCTAAATGTTTTTTGGGCACATCTATATTGTTAGTAAATTAAATAGACCTGTTTTTCACTGAAAAGTGCCTATAGTAATATTGTAATAAATGGCTATAACTTGCTTGGGGAATGTTATATGTAGACAAAATTTTATTTGGAAGTGTAAAACACCCAGATACAACTTTCTAAAGAAATAAAATCCAAACTTCAGGAGTTTCTGTTTGCGTACACCGTAAAAAAACACCCAGTTGTTCCTTGCGTTTTTCTTAAATGAAAAAACAGCCAATTGTTGCTTGCGTTTTTCTTAAAATTCTGGAAATTCATTCATTCTTAGAGAAAACAAAAGGAAAATTGGGACTTTAACTTAGCTAGACTGAAACTTCAAGTTCTCCTGTTTATACTGATATATGACACTTGATGCTGACTGCTAGAATAGGTCTTAAAAAACAAAGAAAAGTGCAGACGTGTCAGGTGCCCCAAAATTTTCTAGGTCTTTAAGGGTTAAAGCAGACGGCACTTATAAAAATGCATCGTTTGATCATAGTTTGTACGCAAGCTATATATATATATATACAGTGGGTACGGAAAGTATTCAGACCCCCTTAAATTTTTCACTCTTTGTTATATTGCAGCCATTTGCTAAAATCATTTAAGTAAGACCTAAAAATGGCTGTCCACCAACGTTTACCATCCAACCTGGCAGAACTGGAGAGGATCTGCAAGGAGGAATGGCAGAGGATCGCCAAATCCAGGTGTGAAAAACTTGTTGGATCTTTCCCAAAAAGACTCATGGCTGTATTAGATCAAAAGGGTGCTTCTACTAAATACTGCGCAAAGGGTCTGAATACTTAGGACCATGTGATATTTCTGTTTTTCTTTTTTAATAAATCTGCAAAAATGTCAACAATTCTGTGTTTTTCTGTCAATATGGGGTGCTGTGTGTACATTAATGAGGAAAAAAAATTAACTTAAATGATTTTAGCAAATGGCTGCAATATAACAAAGAGTGAAAAATTTAAGGGGGTCTGAATACTTTCCGTACCCACTGTATATATATATATATATATATTAAAAAACAATTTGGTGTAAAGTAAAAGTATTTTCACTCAGAAATTGCTGTTAAGTTTCACAAATAATTACAAAGAAATGGCAAGTAACGCATTGAATTAAACATGAAATTTTGAAGTAGAAAGACTGAAATAGTGTTTTCTTGTAAAACATACTCAACTTTGAAAAGTGTAGTTACTGCCATAACTGTGTGAATTGATATTAGAAATTATTAGAGACTTAAAAATATAAAAAATTTAAATAAATGAAAGTACTTTATATATTTACTGAGAAAGATTTTATTTTGATTTGGTTCAGTGTTATTTTAGCATTATTGAGATGCTGTTATTTTTTAATGTTTTGAAATGAAATGTATTTTCTGTTTAGTTAATTTTTAGGGATTTTTTTTACTTTTTATAAGTATTTTAGTATTTTTTTTTAAAGCGTGTTTGTATAGTTTTTATGTTTATTTCAGTTTTAGTTATTATAGTATGTAAAGTTTTAGAAAAAGTGTCTTGCTTAAAGACACAAATACTTGCCAATATAATAAGAAAATTTGGTAACTTTATTTTAGTCCTGCAGTAATAAAAATAAATATGCATAATTACATGCAACTAACCTTATACTAAGTACATGTTGTTAATTAATATTACTCGGTACTTATATAATTACACTGTAACAAGGGCACATTAAAATAGTGTAAACAAAAATTAACTTTTATTTTTATATTATTCAATATGCAATTTAACCTTTTTAAGTATTCACTCAATCCACAATATTATAATTATTATGCAATGAATTAATTATAATAATTGTTATTAAAGCAGTAAATTATACTATTTAATAAAAATAATGATGATAAACAAACAATTGAAAAACAGAAATGTTGCATTATGCATTAATTATGCAAATAATAATTTTTGAATAATGATAATACAAAAATGTAAAAATGTTTTCTGATCATAGTATTGTATTATATAGCCTATATGATTATATTTAATAATAATAATAATAATAATAATTGTATTATTATTATTATTATAGAATTTTATAATTAATTAATCAAGCTGATCAGGCACATTTTTTCAGCCCATAATACAAAACAAAATAAACAAATGGTGTTTTTTGTCTATTTAGAGTTTTTATTTTTGTCTATCAGTTTGTGTGTTTGCATCAATCACGTGGCATGCATGTGCCTGATGAATGAGACTTCCTTCGCCTGTTTTGTGTTTCCTGTTTCTCTTGTTTAAGAGGACAGAAGCCACAGATTTGTCAAGTTTACGATCAGAAAGCAAAACGGCCGCAGTGAACCACAGGCTGACTACGCAGAAATGAGTCTATCTCTGATAAAAGCTTCATATTCTGTGTGATATGATGCATTGTGCTCATGCATATTCCCAAAATGCTTTTCAAACGAGCTGTTTTGCAGCATTTGTCAGCAGCGTGTGGGCGGCGAGGGAATCATTCATCTAAACTCTGTCCTCTCGCTATTTAAAGCGTCCTGACAAACCGCAGGGCTCGAGCCGTTATTTTAGCCCTGCCAATAGAACGATACACAGGAAGCAGCTTTATAAAAGAAAGAGGCCACTTCCTGTCTCGCTCCAAGGCTGTTTGTTCTCCAGGGCTGCCAACACGCCTCACGCAGAGACCGGATCTCATTTAATCACTTCACTGGAGATTGAAATTCATTTGCACGTTTCTAAACCGAAACTCGTTGTTTATAGCATTTCCAAAGTACAGGAATAGACAGTATAGATATAAATAAAGCAACTAAAGAGGAAAATAAAAGAGAATATTAGTGTTTGTTGTATGTGTAATGTTCTTATTCTCAATCAAACACTCAATTAAGGTTTTGTTTATAATAAAACCAAAAGTTATTATATATTTAATATATTATTTATTTTTTGTAAGTTTTTCATTTTAATTTGGCTCTCTTATTTTAGTATCATTGAGGTACTTTAAAAAAATATATTTTGAATTCGTTTTTATTTGTATTTTCATTTTAATTTTAGTTAAAGTTTTAGTAACTGTTTTTGTCTTTTTTATTAGTTTTTTTTAATGCCTATATCGTTTTTTTTTTCAATTTCCGTTTGTTATTTTGGTACAAGTTAAGGTGTGTGTGTGTGCGCATACATGTATCTATTTATGTATCTATAAACTCTCTCTCTCTCTCTCTCTCTCTCTCTCTATATATATATATATATATATTAGTTTTATTTCAGTTAACATTTATTTTAAGTAGCAAAATTTTTTTTTAAAGGTTTTAGTTAACCATATTAACCCTGATTTTTTTTTTTTAAGTATTTATTTATTTTAATTTAGCATTCTTATGATTTCACGAACACTTAAAGTTCTCTCATGAACCCCTGGGGTGGGAAACACTTAGTTGAATGACGTCAGATTTTATTTACGATGTTATTGAAAGTAAACGCCACAAACGGTTTCCTGAGATCTTAGTGTTTGTTCCAGTCGATCAGAGCGCTGAAAGCTGGTCAAGGTGCATATTTTGCAGTTTGCATTGTCTCTAGAATTAAACAGGCTGTTTTTTTTGTTGTTGTTGTTTTTGCTGCTGCTTAAAAAGATTTTCTAAAAAATGTTTAGAATGATTTCTGAAGGATGCTGAAAATTCATCTTTGCATCACAGGAATAAATTAAATTTTGCGATATATTCACATAGAAAACAGCTGTTTTTAATTTGAAAAAATATTTCACAATTTCTGTTATACATTTGATCAAATAAAAGCAGCACTGGTGAGCAGAAGAGACACTTTAAAAACTTGACATCTTAATTATTCCGAACTTTTGACCGGTAGTGCATGTAAATTCCTCTTCGCACGACGGGGCCGTTTGAAGTTCTGAAAATTTGAGTTGTGTTTTATCTGAAAAAGATTCATGAAAGTGTGATTCCGCATGATACGAGGAAGATTGTAAATAAAGTGTATTTTGTGTTGTGTGTGTGTCTTCAGGGAAGCAGCACTAAAGATTACTTCCTCCATCGAACTCTACAGAGTCTGGAGCGATATTTCTACCTGATCGTCTTTAACGCTTACCTGCATGAACAGGTACAGTCTGTTTTCAAACCGCTGTTTTAAGAGTCATTATTCATTTGTCAGTCATACTATGTTTTTCTCTCTGTTCTAGTATCCGCTGGCGTTCGCCTGTAGTTTCAGCCAATGGCTGTGCTCTCACGCCTGGATGTACCGCCTCCTCTCCTGCATGAACCAATCAGAGCTCAGAGCACCAGCTGACCTGCTCACGAAAGGAGCTCGAGTTCTGGTGAGAAACATCATTACCCATCTGAAAGTGCTTGGATTAAATTGTCACAACATTATTTTATTTTATTTTATTTTTTATTATTTTATTTTATTTTTTATTATTTTATTTATTTTGTTTTATGTATGTATTTATTTTTTAATTTTATTTTTTAATTTTTATTTATTTTATTTAATTTTTTTGTATTTTATTTTATGTTTTATTTTCAAACATCATATTCACTTTATGGTTGCAACCCAAATATAGACATGTATGTCCTGTGCATATAAACAAATGACTGGATAACCACTGTTGGTCTGTTCCTCAGTTATACTGAATGACCTCAGAAGATCTAAATATAGTGGTCAATGCGTGTGAACTACTTTTGACAGCCTTACTGAAAGCCTTTCACTTGCATTATATTGTAAAGAGCAGCATGAAGTCCTGATGATCTCAACAGATTCACTGTATTTTATCTCTGTGTTTCTCTATTGAGATTAATGTGGCTTCGCTCTGCATGGAAATTACTTTCTCACTTAGCAACAGTTTCTAAAGAAAGTGTGACTTGTCAACAGATGTCGCTCGGATGTATCTTTCTAAGCAGCGGCCTTGAACACTTTCTTTAGCGCTGAATTGACTGAACTGAGGAAGTCGAACTACGAATGTCTTGCATGCTATTTTTCACAAACAGGGTTCAAAACAGACCTTGAAACATACAAAATATCTTTGAGGGGTGTTTTAATAGACTTGTGAGTGTTTTAACTCCTCTATGACTGGGTTGATTCATATGAAATTTAAAAAAGAAAAAAAAAGAAAACATTTATAATTTTTTTGGATTATTTTTTCTTTTCACATTTTGCTATATTTTAATTAATAATAGTTTTATTTTTATTTATTTATTTATTTTTTGCCAAATGTCATGTGTCCACCTCGGATATCAAGCTAAATATTTTTAAATAGTTTTATTTTATATATTTTATGAGATTTGCAATTTTTCCTTGAATTTGAGATGTTTTGGAGTACTGTTTAAAACTCTTTTTAACTTTAAATTTTTTTAAATGTATTTTACGTAAGCAACAAGGTTGAATAGTCATGCTTGAAAAATGCAGTCAATATAATTATATGTGCAAATTTTTTTTTTAACAAAACCCAAGGTTGTTTTACCAAGTTAGAGGGGGGGAAAAAATCATCTATTGTGAAATTAATCCAACATTAATAATTTCTACCCTGTTCATCAGCTCTTCATATTAAACTGAGAAATTATTTTGACAATAGTTACAAATATGATGCTAATATGACGTATTTCTCTGACTAAATGAACAAGTAGGATGGATCATTTCTGAAGAGATGTGTTGTATTTCTAGGTCGCAGATGAATATTTAGCGCCTGACGTTCTGAGCACCATTAAGCAGATGAAAGTGGCTAATTTCAGACGAGTGCCCAAAATGTCGATCTATGGGATGGCCCAGCCGACATCTGAGGTAACTCTTCCCAAAAGCCCCTTCAGACTGACTCTGATGTCTCCTGAGGAGTTTGTTAATGCTCACCGACAGCATCGCTCACGTTTCAGGCGACGGGAGCCGTTCTGGAGTATCTGACGGATGAGAAGAGGAAGCACAGCAGTGTATTGTGGGTAAATTTGCAGGATGAGCTGGTTGTGGAGGCAAACGGCCAGATCTTCTGTCCCAGAGAGCCCACGCGTGTGGATCAGCACATATGTGTGCTCTCCTCACAGACGCACCAGATCGAGGTCAGAACCTGCTTTTGCTGCTTGTCATTTGTTGCTTAGTTCATTCAAGCAGCATTAATCATCTCTAACAGCTTAATTAAAGCAGTAAGCTGCTCGAGGATGTGCGTTACCCACTGATTTGATTGTTTAGGGTACCATTTTCACCTGCTGGATGATAAAACAACCTCCTAGACATCTTTTATCTCTCTAGACCAGCGTTTCCCAAACTTTTTTCTTAGCTGGACCCAATATACCCGAAATCCCCCGAAGATTTCAAGTTAATATTTCAATAATTTAATGACACATTTGCATGTTCACGGTTCTCTGATGTTGGTTAATTGTCACACGACATGCAGGGAAATAGATTGTATTGAATTGAATGTATTGTTGTTATTGTTATTATTTATTAAGAATTATATGAATTAATTATTATTTATTATTATTATTATTATTGTTTAACTACATATTTTTAAAAGTTGTTTAATAATAATAATAATAATAATAATAGTAATAAAAAAATGGTTATTTGATTTTTTCAATTACTATTATTATTGTTATTGTTATTAATTAATTTGATTAATTAAATATATAAATATATATATATGTGTATATATATAAAAAAATTAGGCAGTGTTTTATTTTGACAAAAATATTATTATTATTTATTAATAGTATTATTTAATTATTATTATTATTTAACTACTTGTTTTTAAAAGTAGTTAAATAAAAATTATAATAATAATAGTAATCAAAAATATTATTATTATTATTAGATTTTTTCTATTATTGTTATTGTTATTATTAACTAATTTCTAAAAAATTAGGCAGTGTTTTATTTTGACACGTATTATTATTATTAGATTTTTTTATTACTATTATTATTAGATTTTAATAAACTATGATTATTATTATTGTTATTATTATGTTTTAACACTAATTATAAAAATGAAGACAAATATATTACTGTTGTAAATTTACAATTGTACTCTAAAATAAAAAAAAATGAATATTTGATAATTATTCTAATAATTTTCTTTTACAGTACAGGTTACAATACTAATATTTATGTCATAAATTATTCACTTTTAACATTTATTTTGGTGGAATATTAGTAAAATGCTGTAAACTTCTGCTGTAAAATTAAATCACATCAGTTGATTTGATATTCATTCAGTAAATCGCAATTATTGCGCAGCCCCATTTATTCATTTTTTAAAATTCACATGTAATTAATTATCAGCTTTTCATCAGTTTGTGAACCCCTGCTCCAGACTGTGAGTGTGTGTGCGTGTGTGTGTGTATGAGTGTGTGTGTTTGTGAGTGTGTTTGTGTGTTTGTGTGTGTGTGTGTGACATAGAAGCTGGAAACAGCTCTGAAAGAGGAACTTGTGGGAAGTCAGAAATGGCTTGAAGTGACTCTGGAGCAGGAGAAGCAGATGAAGATGTTCAAGAGCTGCGTGACGGTGCAGGAGACCTTTAACCAGCACAAGAGTTCACACCAGGGACTGCAGTACAGACGGATACCCTTCCCAGAATGCTCTTCTCCGACTGAAGAGGTGAGACACGCTTTAACAGACCTGTAAAAGATCTTCCCATTCAGATGCAGTGATGAAGGCTGATGACGGGACAAAGAAAAGACCTTCTGCTCCCTCTAGTGTTCATCAAAGTCACTGTCAATTCAAATTTTACAGAAATGGTTCACCCAGAAATATGTGTCGTCACCTTTATTTATATAG